GTCACACATTTAGGTGCACACACTCCAGAGTTAATCACAAACTCTGGTTCAAACTCGGAGTTGGGAGAGAAGGTTTATATCAAGCTTTGTGAGCCCAGTGAACCTGGGGCCTGTACCATGAAGCTGGATTAGCTGGCTAGCCAGGTAAATTTCAGTTTAGTTTGCACAAATCCTGGGTTTTAGGTACCATGAAAGTGGCTTGGCATTTAGTGGCATTCATTGCCTTAGTAACTTACACTCCACAGCTAACCTGCTCTGGGACAGATTATGTTCTGGTTTAGAGATCTCAAACCAAAATTTGACCAATCAGCTTCAAGCAAAGTGATGCATCTCTGACGCAATAAAGCCACTCCCCCAGTTTCTCTTACTCCAAATTAAAGGACGCTACATAGTAAAACATTTTTAAAGAGAAAATAGTCTGATTTTTAGAGATTATTGTTTTTTATAATTATTTTATATGATTTATATAATTATTATACACTTAATCCATTACACAAGCTAGCTTAGTTTAATAGTAATTATTAAGCTTTTATTTTAAATTAATATAAACATAGATAATATGCAATATAAATAAGTTTTAGAATAAATAGCTTTTAACATGACTACATATGAGCTTAGATTTTTAAGTGTTTTTATACCTATAAATATTATCAATTCTATAGCTTTACAACTTTTACTTGCACTTATATGGCAAGATGTTTTCTTTAAGTTTTCCTCTTTCATGGATAGATCGTTTCATCTTGTAAATGTTTTTAAATTCTTCATATTGTTCAATCTTTTAATCTTTGGTAGTGAATCGCACTGACTCTCTCACAAGAAGTGAATCACAGTTTCAAGGCATGCGATTGGCTTTTCATTACTGATGTCACTCTTTCATGTGCACATGCTCCATTATCTCAGGAATAGAGAAAGTTGATGATCATCTTCATGGTACCAACAAAACCGGATTGGACGGGTTTGGTTTTTGTCAACTCAAAACTAATCCTGTAACCCTGAGTTTGTTCAGCCACCATCATGGTACAGGCCCCTGGGGTGTATTCCAGAAAGCGGGTTTTGTTGGAAACTCAGTTTCCAACACATATGTTGGAGTTTGTTAACCCCAGAAAAGGGAAACTCAGTGTTTTCGGTTCCAATAAAAGACAAGACTAAACCTCTCGGTAAGTTACCATAGTAACTTACTCTGTGAACCTAACCTGGTCGGGAACAGGTTTTCTTCAGTAAACCCAGAGTTTATTTTGCCCCTCCCCCCCTTAAAGCGTAAGCAGCATAAGCAATGTTTAGAATAGCTTTTATTGCTGAGATTTTTGCCTTATTTCAAATACAAATATCTAAAAATTCTTAAATCATGGTGCATTCTATATATATAAAAAATATGTACGATATTTAGTCTTGTTTCCTGGGGTAACAGTAAATTAATTGCCAGCCGGGTAAGAAAATGAATCTTAATGAAAATGTAAACAATATTATTTTTCTCACCGGACCACTTTCATTTACATCATGCAGAGACTGTAAATGTGACAAAAATGGCATGTCTTTATATAAGGGATCATGTAGATGATGGAGGCTGCATTAATTCGCGGGGAGTTACATTTACGTCAGGAGAGGATTTAATTGAATTGTTTAGCCATATCCACAAGTATATTTATTTGAACGGTACCATTTTGAAATGGCGTTCACTTGATAACACCTGGTTGCGACCTATAAGAGTCCGTGTATCATTCGATCATTCATTTTTTGATTTAATATTGAAAGTAGAAAAATGAGGAAATGGCTCCTATTTCGTTTTTTCCCAATAAACGAAAAATGAGAATTCAACTTAAATTTTCGTTTTTCGTTCATGGGTGGAAAAATGAATAAACAGCTTGAATATTCGATTTCTACATGTGGGTGGGAATTAAACACCCCTTTCTGCTGATTGGTCAGCCGAAGATCAAACCGTGCCATCATCAGTTCTTCTGCAGTATCACGCAGCAGAATAATAGTCCTCCACTGCTGCAGTTGTATGGATTAATAATATTTATATTATATATTCATATTTTTCTCATCAAACAGACTAATGAATAGCTCGACACAACTCGTACAGGGGCAGAGTCTAGACAGGTCTTTCTTCTGTGTAGACCAGCGGTTCTTAAAGTGATAGGGGGTCCGAGAAATAATTTGCTATAGCCTAAAATATTTCCAGACTGTAAAGTCGCTTTTTTTATCATGATACATAGGCCTACTGTGATTTATTCCAAAGTGACTTATATGATGCATTTAACGTCAAATAATCTAAATGAAGCCTTTTAAAAGACAAGTTTTAGCTGTGGTTCATGTTTGTGGCATGCGCCAGAAAGATGCTCAAGGAGACAGAGATGCGCTAAAGCAGCGCATTCTGTTGTTCTCTTTATTTTTCAAAGGCATGACATTTTGTAGTTATTTTCAACATAACGTTACACACTTAAAAATATACATTTTACCATACGACTATAAATGACAGAGTATTAAGTTATTTCCCCTCGATGGGGAAAATATCCAAGTGAACGTCAATCAGTACTCAATATTTAAACTGCTTTAAATATGACTGCTGCTTATTTCCTGTGCACTTCTGTGTTTGACTGTAGTCGCGTCTGTCTGCTTATTGAGTTTATTTAACCCATCGCAATTTATTGGAACTGTGAACTAGAGTGAATATTCACCTTAATGTTGTTCTAATGGCTGATTACTTAACACAAAAATGTCCTGCTCGCACTTGCCATTTTAATGGCAGAGAATGGTGACTTCATTTATTTATTTTTTACTGACCAATCAGCAGAAAGGGGCGTTTAATTCCCGCCCACATGTAGAAATCGAATATTCAAGCTGTTTATTAATTTTTCCACCCATGAACGAAAAACGAAAATTTAAGCTGAATTCTCGTTTTTCGTTTATTGGGAAAAAAACGAAAAAGGAGCTGTTTTCTCATTTTTCTACTTTCAATATTAAATAAAAAAAACGAATGATCAAATGATACACAGATGTTTCAAATCTACTTTAGGTATTGTGGCCATCTCCTCTTCATCTCTCAGTGATGCTGGTGCAGGCTCTCCTCCCATTTCTCTGCCTTCTTGCTGTTGGCTTCTGAATAGAAGTTAAATGTTTTTCATTACCCTAATTAGGAAATGTAGCATGTTGAATTAGAGAACATTTATTTATGTGAAAAAGCATTAGACTATGTGGAAAAAGCCGCTGCACATTGAAATATACACTGATTGATATTTTTTGAATGTCAAATATTTGTAAAGTCATGTAACGTTAACCTACACCCATGTCACGCTTAAAGGTTTACCTGATTGAGTTATGTTTTTGTTTAGTTTTTTCTGCTGCCACATTTTTTCCCCGTGGGATACCGCGAAAATGAATATTGGTTCATTAAATTACCTTTCTGCCAGTTTTCACCTGATAACATTGATTTATAATTAAAATTACGTATTCCGTAGCATGCGGAAGTCTTTTTGGCGGGAGCTGTTGCCATGGTGAATCGTAATTTCGGAGCTCCATTGATCATGGCTTTTCATAGTCGTGGTGCATGCGCTAAACTCAGAGTTAACCTACTCAGTGGATTGAACCAACTCTGTTCAGCTGTTCTGAAACCGAAAACTCAGAGTTTCCAATCTCAAGGTAAGTCAACTCCTAGTTCAAGTTTTAACTCAGAGTTTGTTGAACCTCCTTTCTGGAATACACCCCTGATCTTAACCAGGTTGGCTTTATCGGGTTTGTCAACTCAAAACTTACTCTGCAACTCTGAGTTTGTTCATCTCGCTTCGTGCTACAGGCTTTCACAACAAAACCCGCCCAAACACTAGCCCAAAGTTGTTTCGAGGGAGCTCCATCAGTAAAAATTGTGTTCCAGTGGTTAAATATCATGTTTTTTGGGTAGCTTCAACCCACGGCAACAGTGTTAACGTAGCCCCGTTCCACGGGAAAACCATGCACTTGGCAACACTGTTTGGGGCTCCTTTTAAACCAAGATTACTAATTAGTGAGCTAAGTATAAAAAAGGTACGCATGTACATATTTACAATAACACATAAATATACATGTAAACATAACATCTATTCCACACATACATATCTTAGCAAACACTGAACACCGTTAAGTATTTAAAACACAAAAGAAAACAATGGACAACTCCAAAATATTCATCTACACACACACACATACGTACGTACGTACACATATACATATATATATATGTGTGTGTGTGTATATATATATATATATATATATATATATATATATATATATATGTGTTATGCACAGTGTGGATTACTGTCAGGGGATAGAAAAGGAGTGGATATGTTTGCGTGTATGAGAGAGCAGTATGCTAATGGCATGCACATGGCCTCAGCAGGGAATTACGAGGAGGAATGAGGTAAGATGTGGTGTGTGTGTGTTACACTAAACAACAGGGACAGGACACTTTGCTACAGTGCCACACAGCTACAACTTTACCAGTAGTCAAAGAGATAGATAGGTTACCAAAGTTTTGCAAAGGTACAGCAGTTTACTATAAATTTAAAATTGGCAAAGAGGTCAACAATGGAAAAACTGTTTTAATTTCTGACCAGTAGGTGGTACTGTTACCAAACAAAAGTGAAATGAGGGCTGAAATGAGTGTTGTAGACATAGATCATGACAAATTTGTTAGGGTGTAATTTGGCAATGGTAGAAAAAAAAACTTGTATAACCTTTGTTTGGCAATCAAGTTAGTAAAACAAATTAAACTATTTTATTTTTTTTTTTTAAATGACAAGGTTAAACAAAGTGGTTGACAATATACTTCACAATGTCTGATGATCAAGACTTAAGAAACTGAAATAATCTTCAATTTGAAGAAACGGTTCAAAGTTACATGGGGGAAAATGGGCTGAGTTTGGTGCTTGACACCTAAACACTTTAAAACTGCTCTGGGATCTTGAGAAGTCACTCATTAATAACATGTCAAACTTGTTTGTGTATGAAGAGACGATCAAACTCACCCGATACTGTCAGTGTAAGTGCATCACTGTGTTGTGACCTGCGCGATCCTCCTCTCTCTGCTCCATAACAGAAGTATTTACCTGCATCAGACTCAGTAACAGGACTGAATGTGTGTTCCTGTAGTTCACTGAAAACACTGACTGAACCGTCTTTATACCAGCTGTACTGCCAGCTAGTGACTCCTTCACCATCAATATCACATCGGAGAGTGACTGTGTCTCCTCTGAATACATGTTGATCAGGTTTAATGCTTACTTTGGCTTTTGGTCTTTCTGTGCAATGACAACAATTCACAATGAAAATAGTGTGATGAATAATACAATAAATAAAAAAAATAAAATGTGCAACTTTAAGACCACTCTAAACTTAATTTAGCCAAGCTAAATTAATGTTACAGTTAGACTTAATGTTGACATTTTCCAGGTTAAATAAACATCACTTACACAATCAAAAGCAACAATAAAATTGTGTATTTAGTTTTTTTACATTAACAGAGTAGTTAACATTCTATTTATTAAAAGCAAGTATAAATCCCACCAATATCATCCATCAGCAGTTTTACATATATTTTAAAATAATAACTAAGAACTTATTCATTTTAAACGTTTTGTGAAATTTCAAAGCTCAATAAACACTGCAGGTGTCATTCACAGACAGTATTTTCACCAAGCTGTTTGCTCATCAAAAAAATAAAGTAAAAGAACATAAAAATAAAAATTCCTCTTTGATTGTGTTAGCGTACACTCATATGTGAATACGTGATGAAATTCAATCACCTTCAGTGTGTCCAGAATGAATGTTTGAAAGCAGCACTAAAACAGAAAAAAAAACATCACAGTGTGAACATGGAGCTGTATTTTATATTAGCCATATTAAAAAGCTATTATCATTTCTTTGTTTATCAAACATCAACTTGATGAGTGCAGATGATGATCTGGTTAAAATATGATTGAGCTGAATATAAAGAATAATTCATAATGATATATTTTATGCATATATACGCGCGTCTCATTAAAGATCAAGCCAACAGTCTGATCACAAGCAGAAGAATAAAAACACTTACTTGTCAATATATCTGGTGAATATCTACTTAAATCAGACACTATGCTAAGCAAAACTTTTTAGCTGATTCAAAACATACATTACAAAACACAAACCTGAATGACTGAACAAATATATTGATCTACAACACAACAGAGTGCATTTCACTAACTGCACACTTCCTCTCTCAAACTCATCTTCCACTCATATAACATGGACTAGAGCTGGATTTGAAACTCAGCAGCATGAGAATAAAAAAAATCCAGGAACAATAAATCACTTAATTTTCTTATAATAGAAATTACATAGAAGAAAATACTCACAGAGCACAAGAGGAAGTTGACTGAGCTCCATACTGACTGAATGATGACAGACGGTTGAAGACACAGACTGTGTTAAAGCCTCAAGACTTCCTGAAACCTATAATATATA